GTCCTCAGTATTGAATTGTGAGAGATTTCTATCTCATAAGGAAGCTCCAGGAATGTCATTTTAGGTTAAAAAGCTCGAGGTATTGTGAGAGTTTGTATTTGCGTCGCCATGTGTTGCCCCGGGTGGCCTCGCTTTCGTGAAATTATTCATAACCAGTCTCAGACCTCCATCGCATTTTCCGCCATTATGGCAAAGGTCTATAGCGCAACAGCAGAAGTAGTAGTAATAAAATTATAAATAAATGGCTAAGGAAATACTACTCTAAACAAAAATAGTTACCACTTCTTGGATTCTCGCCAGTAACGAGGATACGTCGTATTTTCCATCAGTGCAACTTTCACTGGTAATGACCATGGTTATGTTAATTACCTTTACAAAGACTGCACATGTAGAGTAAAAGAAACTACAATAAGACACGAAACCTCTCTCAGCATTAGAATTTTTATCACCCTGGAATGATGAGGACAAGACGATCATTAATAATTAACATACCCTCACAATCTGCGACAATGGATGATCTGTAGTAACCTTCGTTACACATGCATCCATTTCTGTCAATATTAGATGCTGAGTTTTCAGGACAAGGAACACATTTTTCATTACCAACAGAATCCTTATAGAAGCCCTTTTGACACTCTAAAACGAAACAATGTGTAATATCATTGACATGCCTTTTTTCTCAGAACACATCAGTGCAATGACCCAGTGATGTGCTTTTCAAGACCAAAAAGATCCCTGCCATGCAAATGACTAGTGTCTGTGATAGAAACTTAGACATATTTGATAACCCTGGCACTAGCCATTATTATATAATTAGAGGCTTTGTTACCAAGACAACTTATTTTGTCTTCAATGCTGATGACTTTCACAATGACTCTCACTTAGGTCATTGAACAACATGTATACATAAATATATTAAACCTGCAACTAAGACTTGAAAACCAAGACCCAAAAACGAAGAACCTAATACGATAAATGCATCTATCTGCGAAAAAAAAAACGCTTAGAAGAAGCAAAACGAAACATTACTTCGCTAAAAGATACTTTGCAGAAAAAAGCGTATTTGTTCTAGGGTTTTCTTTCCTAAGCCATTTATCTACGTTCACCGATGGAATCTATGCCATCATCATAAGCATGACTAAGAAGTACCAAATGATGAACAAATTAAACAGGGTGGTCATTTAAATGTTTAACCATTTAAATGATTTGATATTTATTTTGGATCTTAATCTTCAGAGGCAAATCCAAGTTTTAATTCTAGCACTAACCTTTGCATACAAAAGAGTCTGAAGATCCATTGGTTAGTTCATAACCATAACTGCAAAGGCAGGCTGAGCTATTTGTGATGTTCCACTCCCCATTACTGAGGCACACGCCAAATATCTTTTGATTGTTTCTTTTAAGTGAGTTAGGATCTGTACATTCTCCTTCATGATTAGTTGAATTAATATTATTTGCTGGGGCAACTGTTCTTGGAAATTTAACGAGAGCAGCGGCCGTTTCAGAGCAGAAACGATATCTCATAACAAACTTTCTTATTGTCAAGCAGGCTCCTTGGTCTAATAATGCCAAATAAATTCCCTTTGCTTTTGTTACTATTGACCCATGAAATGTGTCTGTTGTGAGTTTATTTGGCGCAGGAAGAGTGTCTGGGGCAATGACAGTTTCTTTTTGGAACTTTAACTTTGTCGGGTCTGCATCATAATCTAATCTGTAATCCGTATGATAAGAATAAAGGGTGAAGTTAGTTCTGCAGAGTGGCACCACGTTAGCTAAGGGGCAGGTACGAAGGGTATATGTGACTTCAATATTGAGTCGTGTAGCACCTTTGATGTAAATATAGTCTGTTCGTAACCAGTTCTTTGGTTCCTTATTTTTGCTAACAATATCACAGACTGAGTACACTGGACTCTGAGTCGAAGGATGCATCCACTGCAAGAGACCAAAGAATCATATTACTCAATTAATAAATATTCGCCGCAAAAGTCATGGGTGTGTGCACAACATACCTGCGGGTGCACTTCAACGAGACTTTGTGCACATGTACTAAGTGATAATTGACTACCATAAGATGAGTTGATACATTCAGTGGGTGTTCAACATGATTAAAGATCTCTTAAAAATTACCAAGTCTAATTATCATATTATTGAAACAAAACTCCAAGTGACACAATTTTATAGCGTTTGTGCTTTTTCATGCAATATGTACTAAAAACCTGAGTGGTTCATGCATGGAAGCTTTGACCTCTTTCGAATAATAATTACCTCTGATTGTCACTGACTTATAATTGTCTCCCCGTCATCTGAACTCCTAAATCTCAAAATAATTGGAAGTTCGACGTTGTTGGGGGATGGGAAGAAGAATACTGAAATTATTACAGATGTGGAGGGAAAAATATCAGTTGACTGGTTTATGTAATTACTGTGTAAATACTTCGTTTAATCAGGCTCATCATAAAAATAAGAATGGTCAAAGTCTAATATGTCCAAAATGTTGACACAAAAGATCGGAAAAAAGAATCAATTGTTTAGATGAAAGTCTGTAAACACATTCAAAGTTCTCTATTGCTTTATTAAAAATATATCTCGAAAAATGTGACAATTAAACGAAAATGTTGCTAACTCACTTCTCGATTGATACGATTAAAGGTCCCAAGATAAATAAAATCTCTTTCTTGTTATTTACATATAAGATGTGCACTGACATAGTTAATAATACAGAATAAGTGTGGACCAAATCCATGGGAAATAATCGGTTGGAGTTTCGTAGAGGCTTGAAATAACAAGAATTTCAGATCCCTTATTGTACATCAACTTACATGTGCTGGTTTTTTAATGGGCTTTTATTTTTCTCCCACAAAATCTTCCGGCTCACATTTACTTGTTTTGCAAACTACTCATCATTTAAATCATTTTATGAATCATGTTTTTGACCTTTACCTTGATTTCTGGGATAAGTGGGGCTTAATGTTACAAACTATGTATACGAGTACCTAATACCGATAAAGGTGATGTCTAATACTACACTTAAGAAAAGTTTTTACAATATGGGCTATGAAAATCAATTAACTCACCCCAGCTCCTTCAGGTATTTCTTTAGAGACAAACCAGTACCAAAGGTCTGGTCCAGGTTCCTCCACGAGAGTTTCTGCAAAGGAGTGTTAACGTTATAAACTCTTACAAGATTTTGAAAGAATTTTGAAAGAATAATTTTGAAAGAAACATGTTCATTAAAAACATGTTCAGTGTTAAAGATCGTACTTCTGATGAACTAAAATCCATGGTAGTTTATCAATTTTCTTGTGCGGGATGTAATTCCCGTTATATTGGCGAAACTAGTCGCCACTTTTCTACAAGGATAAAGGAGCACACGGAAAGCGATAAAAAACTCGCATATTTTTAAGTATTTTAACACATCTCCTTCCTGTAAGAACAAATACTCCCTTTCTTGCTTTAGTATTCTGGATTCTGCCAACAGCTCAATTGATTTAAAACTCTAAGAAGCTTTTTATATTGATAAGATCAAACCAGAACTTAACAAACAATTACAGCATTAAAACACGTTTATAGCATTTTAGTTCACACCTTTAGTTTCATGTTTGTTGTCACGCTGTAATTAGTACCCGCTTTTGTATTACATCATACTGTAAATATTTTATTCATCTACTTGTCTGTTATATAATTACTCACGTTCAGTTACTCATTGATTGAAGATGGCGTAAGTATGCCGAAACTTGTCTCTAAAAAAAGTTGTATATTTCCTACAATACTTATCCTACTTGCTACTACTACGACCTTATGAAAATATACTTTATTTGAAACAAAACATTTTTGGCAAGAGCTACTGGAACCTAACAAACGGATCGAACTGTTGCACGTGTTTACATACATACATACCTACATGCATACATACATTACATACAGACATACATACATACGTACATACATACATGCATACATACATATTTCACCTCTGGTTTAAAAGAGTAGCTATATAGCTAATTTCTATAATAAGAGAAAAAAATTAAGTAAATAAATAAATAGATAAGTAAATAAAATAAATAAAAACAAATAGTGCCCTATATTATATGCAGTACATTACACTACTATTTACATAAGTAACAATTACATTTATGTTGGAAGGAAATTTCATGTTCGAAAGAAAATTGACATATTTTAGTTCTGAACTCATTCAACGACGTCAGTGACTTCAGGTCCTCTGTTAGTTTGTTCCACATGTTTGCAGAGTTGTATCCGAAGGAGTGGAGACCATAAGTGGTTGTACTGACATATGAGATAACTATAATGACGTGTATGAAGCGGACCTGAGTTTGATTTATGAAGGTGATTTTCTGTGGAAATCCGTGCAAGCAGATTTTAACACAAGTTCTTGCAACAATTTGTAAAAAGAATCAGATCATGGATAATTTAAAACTTCTGAATCCTAGGATCTCTAGGGTACTTTCTAGATTCTACCGAAAGAGAGGAAATATGATTCGCAAAGCGATGCGACGCATGCAGTCTTGCAAAGTGATGTGAAACTGATTTCGTCAGCAGAATTCCATCCGAAAGTAATAACCCTTTAATATATTCCTAGTACGAAGTCGCATACATAATTATGTAACAGTATATCGGGAAGGTCAGCTCGAGCAGTTTGTAGTCGTATATATAGTCTGTACCTAAGAGCAGTTCGTCAACAAAAGAAGAACAATAAGCTAGGTAATACATGCTAATGAGACAAACGTGTATATGCTTATGTGCGATTTATATGCGCATCCCAACTTTTTGTATATGTGACCGTATAATTGACCGGGAATTGTATTTTGGTTTGACATTAGTCAGTTAGCAGGATTCCTGCGCTGCGATTGCTTTGAAGCTAAACATGTAACAACCTATAAATGTGTGGTCTGACATATCATTCAAAAGATGTAGAAAAAAATTAGTCGTTCACGTTGATCTTTCGACCTTATTATCCTCGAAATTTTCATCATTTTCAATTTCCCGCATCTTAAGCTGAAATAGGTTGAAGCATCAACCAAAACGCTCTCCCTAAAAATTTTTCAGAGAAAGCCCAAGTCTCTCCTAATACCCTATAAAGTACGTATGTTAAAACCCCTGACTCGAGCGAGGTATTTACAAAAAGCTATAGCATCGGTTCACGAAAGGTTTCTACCCTCACTATAGCTTCCGGTCGAAAAGGGAAAGAAATGAATTAGCCTTCAGTAACATTTCTATCTATTCGATTTAACACGGGCAGCTTAGTCGAGGGCTCGAAAAGTACGGTACCGCAGACAAGACTGATTCAGACGTCGGGCTAGAGTTGCACCGAAGTCAAGTGACAATTCATTCTCCTAATTCCCCTCGAGAAAACAGTTCTGTAAAAATATATCTTGTTTTCGATGTGTGTTTTTTTCTTACCCCGACAGAGGCACAGCGTTGAAATCGCTTTCGTGCCAGAATCGTGTAGCGCGGCAGAGTTGACTGAAATTTAAGATATTGAAATATTTTTTTAAAACATTTTTTAAGTATGTAAAATATTTAAAAGGTTAATTCAGACGCAGCGCTTCTACTACGCTTTTCTGGAGCTTAATTCATGAATTCGATATGGCAGAAGCACTACATCCGAAATGGGCCTGAAACGTCTTCCCAGTCGTCTAATGCGAACTCTTACCTATTTCTCCTGAAACTTCGTGTGAAATAAGGACTAGAGTTAGCCAAATAACTAAAGTGGTATGAAATAAACTCATTATCTAACTGATTTAACCAAGTGCTAACTTCATGAGGTATAGATATTGCTATCCACAGCACTTCCCTCTTTTTCTTCAGCTTTTTATATAATGTCAAAAGATGACAACTGCGCAAGGCCTGAAGACCAACATGGTCAATATGCTCAAATCTAAGCAGCACACACAAAAGAGGTCAGACCTTTGCGACCATGCCCAGTTATTTGGAATAAACAAGGTATTTTAATCACGTAGGGCACTGAAACAAGTCCAATACTAGAAATTTCTGAAAAATATTTACGCAGTTCTTTTAGTAAATATTCTGCTGTTGTTCGTGTAAACGGTAACTCCCAGGGAAGAGGCAGGATTTTAGGGAAGATCTCTCGTAAAGTTGTTACACACGGATTTGAAGGGGGGGAAAAAAGTGTAAATTTCATTTTTCATCAGCTGAAGGTAATTTATATCATTACATCTGGATGATCTGAAAGTGTAACCATAAAACTAGGTGGGCCAGGTTGCGTGCTCCCTCTGAAGGCGTTGCATCATTTATGTAACGCAACGCCCTATACATAAAAGCAGGCCTTTAAAGAAAAAGTGCGGTCTAGAGAAAATTTATCTCAGTAAGAGAATTTCTTATCAGGAGTTAAAAAAATTACAGCCATTTTGTCCATTTTGCTTTGGATTAACGACGAGACTGCTTGAAGCTGCACATTTTTACGACTGTTGTAGTGAGAAACAAGCTTTCTTGGATATTACATGATTTACGACGTATTTCATATGGATTGGATGCGATAACAATAATTTGAAAATATTTAATGCCTTTCAGCCAACTTCTTTACATAATAATGCAGTCTTGTGCTTTCCAAAGAAATCGAAAGTTTCTTTCTAGCTTTATTTAAATTGATTTTTAATGTAAAAACCTGTATGACAGAGGCGACTTTCTGACGCGCGCCGTAATTATCAAAGCTCTACTTCTATCATGTCGCGACATTTCAAACACTTTAATTTAGAATGAAAAACATTGCGCTTTGTTCTATAAGTTTAGTTTGAGGGCCACTAGTTATTCAGTTGAAGCGCTGTCCCGTGTTACCCTCATTAAATAAAGTTGATTATTATTATTTTTATTATTATTATTATTATTATTATCATTATTATTATTACTATTATTGCGAATTAAGGGTGAATGCTGAAAAAAGCAAAATTAATTCATAACAATCTACTTCTGCCTTTGGTCTGCCTTAATTTCGGCAACTGTTTTTAATCAATTTTGGTCGATGTTTACGCGTAAAAGAATGATCTTCATGTCAACTGGGGCTGTTCTTAGTTCCAAATAACTCGTATCCAGTTAGACACCGAAGCTGGGTCCCTAAAATTGCAAAAACAGCTCGTTTCATTCTGAGGTAGGAATGTGAAATTAATCCGTCGCGGGCAGTGCGGTTATCCTCTATTAGTAAAACTACCTAATGCTCCAGAGCTTGGATATTTTTGGGAAAAAACCTTTTCCTTTCAAAGTGAGTCAATGTCCTTGCATATTTAATTCTTGGGAGCATACATACTCGTCTTCGATAGGGATCTCTCGACAGTTACCGCAAGAGAACCACTCGCGATTTCCAAGACGTGAGAGACTGAGCGGGTCGACGTTTCTTTCTAAAACTCATTTTCCTAACTTCCTCTTCCTTTCTCCTCACAGAGGTATCTTCTTCCCCTGAAGACGAGCCATGTTTTGCTTGCAATATAAATGGATGCACCACACTCTCTCGGCTAGATTAAAATCCAAGTCGAGAATTTAATCAGTAGCGCTCCCCTCGTGAATGTTTTCCTTGTTTACATCCATTTCAGCAGGGATAGAAATTAGCTTCCTCGGCTATTGCTGGGAAAAATGCCGATTTTTGGAGCGTACTTGTTCGCATCCGAAATGCTTTTAGTTCAAATGAATAGTCAGTTAGGACAATGCAACCAAGGACCTTTTGATGTAAGAAAATTTTTCTAGACCGTACTTTCCCTTTAACCGGCCTCAAACAGGGTGTGCGTTTCGTAGCATCATGGTTTTAAAATGAAACGTAAGTCATTTGCATCCTGTCGCGGTTGAATGAACACTTTTGGTGGCAGCGAGACTGCGTAAATATACGTGGAATGTCATGGGGACTTACTGTCTTTGACGGGCATACGCGACTTCTGTATGGTGGCCGTGAACTGTCATTAAAAATATTCCAATTTCTAGGAATTGCTTTTGTTTGTTTGTTTGTTTTTCCTTTCGATTTATTTCTCATTTTTTTCTTTTTAAAGTAAAAGCAAGTGAAAGTAAAATGTAAAATAGAAACAAAATGAAACCACAGATAAATGAAATCAAATCAAAATTAAATGCTACCCGGCCGAGCGCTGCCACTTTTTTTTTTTTTTTTTTCTTCGCGGTCGGAAAAAAAATGTTCGTGGCCGAACGATGCCTAATGGCCGAGAGCTGCCCAACAAACCCAGAATGCTTTGCAGGATGCCTATCAAGATTCCAATATGGTGGATATTGCGTGGAAAAAGTTCAAAGATAAAGTGGCTGCGAAAGCAGGTAAGAAGCGTGATGCAATAGATACAACGCATATATTACTTAAAGGAAAGGAGCTAACAGTTCAACGATTATCTTCAGAGGTATCAGAAAAAGCCCAAAAGTAAGCCAGAATTGGACCGAGTTAATAATTTGTCCCATTCGCGGAAGATGAACTAACAATCGAGAACATTAAACGTTGTTGTGAGAGGCATTTTGCCACGCAAGTTGATACGTTTCTGGTTTACGATATTCGCACAGGAGAGCAGGGTCCTTCCTGCAAGACCTTGGAGCAGATACCGGATATGAAGATCATTTACGTGAGATTCGTGACTGGTAACATTCAAGATTGCGTACCAGAGTGGAGGATTAGCAAAAGTGATCTTGAAATGGTACGATCCCATAGCCATACTCTTACAAGTTCAGAAGGCCCCACTAGTCCACCAAAAGTTGTCAAAGGTAGCGGTGCTTCATTGAGTCAAAGTAAATTTTCTCCCTCTTACTCTATCAGTCGCGGACACGATGAAACTTGGGAAGATCGGTACAACCCAAGGCCCAACTGCGGTGCTGCAGTTGCACACATTTGACATGGATCTTTTATCATGGTCCAAGTTACCAATAACTGCCGAATTCAATGAAGAAAAGGAGCCGTTTGCTCACGATGGGTTTCGTAATGCATACAAAGCAACCACAAAGCACCCACAGCTCAAGGGGAGTACTTGGGTCATTAAAAGATACCTTCCTGATGCTGTGAAGGGAACAAACTACATTGGGAAAACTGCCCAACAACACACCCAAAAGGTGGTTCAGATGCATCTTCTTGCAAAGAATTTTGCTTGCCAGTTGGAATAAAAAATCGCTGAAAAACATGTTATTGATACATTTGGAAAGGTGCCAAGATATAGAAAGATTTACTACGGTGAAGATGATAAAGGAGAAGTTGTGACTGTGGAGGAGTTTATTGATAGACAGTTTACCAAATACTGAAACAATACTGGTGATTGTTGCGACGACGAAACAGATATTATTATGGGTCAGAAGGCTCAATGTATAACCCATTTTTCTTAAGAAAAGTCAGAAAAAAAACTCACGCTGCTAGACATACAAGGAATTGGGTATGAATTATTAGACCCAAAAATTGCTTCTCATGAACTTTTTGATGGTAGTGCTGAGGTACTTTACTGTGCTGGTAACTTGTCACAGATGGCAATTGACAAGTTTGTCTCAGGCCACAAATGTAATGTCTTCTGTGACATTTTTGGCCTGAAAAGTCTTAACACTGATTAAGTATATATGTTGGGTATCAAGTTAGGTACCGGTATTCACCTTTTCAGAAAAAAGGTGAAGAGAATAGGACATGCAGTGTCGTTGTTACATTCCAAAAAGTTGTGACATAAAGTGTCTTCAAGCAATGGCACCAATAGATGCATTAACACGAGTGCCGTTGGAGAGCGTCTGAAAGCATATAGATAGGGCTTTTGGAGACGAATCAAAGTGGCCTTCCAAATTTTTCAAATGCTTAAAAGTACGACGCCCATGAAATTGTCGATCTCAAAAAGCGGTCTTAAATTCCATATCGAACGACAGCGATCAGAGATTGCGCTTGTCTTTGAAAACCAACTGAATGCGCCACAAACACGTGGGAAAAAATACTTCTACACGTTCGGCGTTATTCTGAATTGTAATTACTTGTGGTGTAAGGGAAAATGACTTAACCTTTGAGGAATTTTGGTCAAAATATGCTAATTTCGGCAGCTTTCACCACCATATTGAGAACAGCGTTACGACGATACAATACAATCAGAGTGCGCACGAACTGGGGGACGATGTTAAGTACAAACACTATAGAAACAAAATTTCTGCAGGTATGCGCTTGAGTAAAGTGAGATATTACGGTACGTTCTTTGAGAATAATATGGACAACATGAAAAAAAAACCTGGCTAAGAATCAATGAACTCTTACATCGTCGGACGAAAAGCTTAAAAGCCATATCTGCACTAAAGGACTTCAATAATCGCAACCGAATTGTTTAGGAAGGTTCGCGGATACCTAACATTATTAATGAGCACTTTGCAACAGCAGAAAGCACACTTGCCAACAATCTGCCGATTTCCCAAAAAAATCACCTAGACTACCTCGATAAGTGCAATTCCCCAACTTCATCCTTCTTTTTTCAACCTGTTTTACCTGAAGAATTAAGGTCAGAGATATTCCTTGTGCCGAATGACAAATTTTATGGTTTATACTCCTCACCTAACAAACTTTTCATTTGTTCAAGTGCCGTCATTAGTCCTATACTTTCAGAGATACTTAATACATCTATCAAATGAGGGACTTATCCATCAAAACTTAAAATTGCCAAAATCACGCCAGTTTTCAAGAGTGACGATGATACTGACCCTAACAATTACAGACCTATCTCTTTACTTTCTACATTTAATAAGGGTTTTGAGAAAATAATTTACAACAGACTAACGAGCTACATAAAGAAGCACGAACTTTTGTATTCCTCACAATATGTGCTTTCGT